GCTCAGGTTTTGCAAACTTTAGCCTGAGTTGTAGCGAGAGCTGCAACTTTGCTCCGCAGGGGTCAGAGGTGAGGGCTATTTTAACCCTAAAAGCCTGCGAATGACCAAGGTTGCAACTAGGCTTGCAATACTAATAGCTATAATTACCTCCACCCCTTCCACACGGGCTTTCCCGCAGAAGAAAGGTTAGACGCGGAGGCAGAACAGCCTGGGTTTGATCGGCTCTTTGGAGGGGAGGGGAAGAAAAACAAAATAACAGCGATATGGAGGAATTTGCAAAGTGCTCCGTTTGCTTGTGGGATTGGAGGCTCCCCCCCTTTTTTTTGCCAGCATTCCCAAGGCGCTGGGGCTTTGTCTTAGAAGGAATGGAGTGTCTGAATGGTGTGAAAGGGACAGAGAGGGTCGCTTCAAATCGATTTTACTTGTCCTCTCTGTCTTTTCGGATCAGCGCCCTTCAATGGACACATAGGTGCTCTTTCAACCAAAAACTTGTGCAACATTTTCTGGCTGTATTGGTGCTAAATACAATAAATGCTGGGCAGATTTTTTTTTTCTTCTTTCCAAAGCAGAAAGCACCCTAATTAAATTGTTTTATATGGACAGTCAAGACAGACCAATTAAGTATGCATTAGTATAAAGATATATTCTGGAGATAAGCTCCCTATAGAAGTCCTGTCTGAACAAGGTGTGGAAAGTGTCATCTGGTACAGAGGTTGGAAGAGTTTTTGATATGGATTTTTTTTTTCCTCCCTCTTTCCATTCCTTCTCTACCAGAAGAGGGGACTGATTGAGTTAGGGGAAAGCTATTAGCTGAAGGGGTTTCTAAGCAAAGTTAACAGGTGGATATCGCTGGGTTTTTTTTAATACTTTGAATATTTAATCGCTGAACACACACACACATTTAGGCTAGGCAGCTGTATATTCAAGTCATATACCTCCCTAGAAGATGCATGCCTTTCCCTATATATCTACAGATGCGTGCCTTTCCCTATATATCTATAGCTATCTATAGATATATAGGGAAAGGCATGCTTCTTCTAGGCTAAATATATATCTATATATATAGATCTACAGATCTATAGATATCTATATATAGGTGTGTAAGTGTGTATACATGTGTGTAAATATATGTATGTGTATATATATGCACACACATGTACACACACATCTACACATACATACATATATACACATACACACTCACGCACCTCGTGTGTGTAGCTTATGAGAGATGTGTTTCCCTATATGTGTGCGTGCGTGCACACGTATATATGGAAACGCATCTCACACGCTACATATTGAATGCATACTCCATATACAGGCATTCAATCAGATGGTGGCTCTATATATAAAAATACAATGCCTGGCATGAAACAGGTCCACTACAGATAGGTCTCACACGCACCGAGATCATACATCTGCCATCTAGGCTGGATACACATCAAGCTAGATAGCAACATCCACATATGATGTATTCGTGTAATAATTACAGCTGGAAATAGCTCCTATTCCAGGTATGGCTCTTTCCCAGGGGTGAAATAACAGATCAGGATGAAAAGCAAACACGAAGTCCTCTTTCTAGCCATGCTCTTACCCTGGAGAAAGCTCTCTACTGTGGCGTGTCAGAGAAACTCGGTTTTTAAAATGTCCTCCCTTGTCACACACACACACACACATATATATATACACACACACACACATATATATATACACACACACATACATATATACATATATTATTATATATTTTATATATATATGTATAATATGTGTGTGTGTATATATATTATACATATATACATATACATACACACTCATATATACCCTCTCTCTATATATATATTGAAAGCAGACTTTCCAGGCTGTTAGCAACCCCTGGGTCCCGAGGTCGCGCCTGGCTGGACCCGCGGGGACCGGGGCACCTTGTGCTCCCAGCCCCTTGCGCACCAACCCGCGGAGCAGGGCGGTGCTGAGAGTGGAAGCCCATCAAGCACAAGTGGGAAGGCAGAGCCCAGGTCGTGGCAGAGCCAGGGATTCAAGCCAAAGGGCTGGGCAGGGGCCAAGGGGCCGGGCGAGCGGGGGCAGCTCGGAGGTCCCCGCCGCCCGGGAGGCGCTGGAGCATCCCAGGGAGATGACGGAGCCGCTCGAATAACTCATTCATTGCACAAGTGCTTTAATGGCAGAGTAAACAGGTTGGGGGCAGACAATTTCCAAGCCTGTGTGTCTCTCTTTACTGGTTACCTTCGAGGATAAATCATCGCATACTGTAGGAGCAGCAAAGCACTCGTCCAAAGGAGATCTCAGCAAGTCTCCTCCCGGACAATAGTCCACCTCCTGTTGGGCTGGGTATCGATCAGGAGAGGAGCTGAAGATGTCACCACACTAAATATTTACTGATCACACACAAATAGCCGGGACTTGAACGATTTTCTCCTGTGAGGAGAGCAGAGAGAGAAGGGTAAATCATTTTATTAGTGTGTATAAAGCAAAGAGCACACTCTGGCTTGGAGTGTTTTAAGATGTGTCTTCAGCTGGATGAAAAGAGTTAGGGAAATCGATACGAAGTGATTAGGCGACCCAGTAGTGTCAAAGAGAGAGGCTGGGAATTTCATGGATTTGGTTATACCGGGGGGGGGGGGGTATGGAGAGATTAAAGGGAGGAACCCATTGTAGCAGAACCAATGAAAAAATATCATCTAATCAGACCCGAAGAAGGTAGGGAAAGGAATAAGCCCCACATTTCTCCAGCATCGCAGCAGGCAGACAGGAGAGGGGAGGAAAAAAAAGAAAAAGAAAAAAAGAGGGACACACATGAAACACGAACAGGAGGAAAAATAGAAATGCTGTAGGGAAAATCCAGGAGAGGGACATGCAAGTCCGCCTCCCATGTACAGCAATGAGTGAAGCACGGAGAAAATGGTGACAAAAGGCACACAGCCGGAGAAAGGAGAGGGCTGGAGCAAATGACTGCCAGACTCGGAGATCAAGTTGAAGGGACTTCAGCTCTGGATGTCCATCAGGCAGGAGCATCTCTGCCCGCAGGAGCCGGGGGCAGCCGGGGGGAGGATTCAGCTTGGCTCTGGGATGTGCAACCCAGTTGGCACACGTCTCTCCCCAGTCCCGCGGCTCCCTCCCAACAAAGGTGGCAAAAAAAAAAGAGATCAGCCCATCACAGCCTCCGCACGGGGCATCTCCAGAGGGCTGCGCCCCTGGCACCAGCAGCTCTGGACGGGGCACACATTGGCTTTAAAAACCGCTCTCCGCCCCCCTGAGGGCTTAACTTTGGGGCATTTCTACTGCACGAGCTTGAACCCCAGCCCTTCATTTTCTGGGCACTGATGGCTTAGGAGACTGCCTGCATCACCCAGGGGGCAGCTCCAGACCGACGAGGACCCTCTTGGAAGAGGCTCTTTAGAGAGGCAGGGCAAGGGATGTATTCCCCAGGATAAAGGACAAGGGATGTATTCCCCGGGATCAAGGACACTGTGATAACACTCAGCTGCTGCGAGCATCTTTGCTGTGGCCAACAGCAGGCAAGCGAGTCAATAGGACGGAGGGCAAGTTGGAGAGGCAGCTTGAACCGCTGCTATTTTCCGAGAGGGAGGACAGGCATCCTACGAAGCCTCTGACCAGCCCTGAGGGTTTTTCACGTCTCCCCCCCAGCCGCTAAATTTGCTGCTGGAAAGTTAGGGACAGCTGCACCCAGTCAAGCCCTTTGCACACGGGGAGCTTTGCACGAGCCTTTGCAATGCCCTTCATCCAGAGCCTCTTCCCCCAGTGCGGGGCCACTGCTGCTTCACTTGTAGGTGGTGGTGGAGGGGGGGGATATTAGCTGCATTTCATGTCAGCCCACAGGGTTGATGCAGCTCTGTAGGATCACTAATGCAACAGGAAACCCGGGATAGACACAGTCTAATTAACAGTTTTCCATAGCTGAAGCGATTTTTAAGAATCCCAGTGGATTAGACCAATATGTTCAGGTGCGAGGCTGCGAGGGCCTGCAACTCCTTTCACTATAATCTTATAACCTCCTTACCTAATTCCTTAGATTGCAGATAGGAAGAGTCTGACCCTGGAGGTCGCAAGAGCTTGGTTTCATTAACCCTCCCCTCTCCAGCACAGAACCAAGGTTAACCACACTCATCTAAAGGAAGTGTCTGTGTGTTGGGGGGGGATGCAAAAAAACAAAAAAACAAAAACCAAAACAAAAAACAAAACCCCCCCACAAAACAAGGGACTTTGCAGGACTCTTTGATTCAGGCTGGATGCAAGGCTTCAGATGCTTTCTGCTCTTTTCCATTCCATTTCTCCCTCTAATCCGAAGGAAAATGGGGATGGAAAGAGAACAGTGTGCTCCGCCTCTGTGCCACACGCCTGTATCCATTGCACGCAGATAGGGCTTAGAAATGCACACTCATGTTGGTGGAACAATTCTTTTGATTTATTCCATTGCAGATTTTCTTGTCCACTCTATTTTTTTGTTGTTGGTGGTGGTGGCAAAGAGTGGAGCCTTCGAAAAATGACAGCTCTTGCAAGAGGCAAAAGCACATTCGCCATCAGCAGCTTCCCCTTGAGCTCCTTGTTCCTAGTCAAACTATAACCCTTAAGGAAGACATCTAGAAATGATTCCCAAAGTAGATTTGCCTGCTAGCACACCTGGCTGATATTTTAATAGGCAGTCCCATTGTATTGATTCAGGATTCATCACTGATGTTGCAAGTTAATAACTCTCACATTATATCTATATGTCTGCCTACATAATTGCATACCAAAGAATATTACTGCAGAAGTTGTCCTTTTTTTTTTTTTTGCTGCATATTCTCTGCTCTTAAATCTTTTAATACATTGAATGGTTTTTTGGGGGAAAAAAGGCTTTTGAACTACATGTTTAAGCAATGGAGTTGTTTGGTGCAATACAGGTTTCTATATATTTCACACACACACAGTCATATGCAAATCCTAACCTATGCATTTGAACCGCTTTTTTGCCCCCCCCCCAGTCTGAAGACAGAAATATGTGCACTATTCAGAGGTGCGTACATTTTTGGTAAGTGCATTTAAATAAGATCTCCATATATATTTATTATGGTTTCAGATTTTTTGGATAATAGCTGAAGTAGCAAAGAATCTGCCTGCTGATTGATTCAGCTGTTTGCCTATTTAACAAACCCTGCCTTATATAGAAAATGATATTTTATCCCTCATTCGGCAAAACAGTCTGGTTTAGAAGTAAACAAAAATTAAGAACAAAAATGTAACAACAAAATTATTTTAATCCCTAGCTATATTTTTACTCTGCTTCCTTTCAAGAATGATGTCTTTATAGTGGTTTTTGATTTTTTGAGTGACATGTTCAAAAATAATTACTGGAATCACAGACTACTGCAAGTATGAGATCATAACATTTAAAATACTCAGTTTCAAAAATAAAACTTATCAAGTAATCAACTGTAAAAATGATCTATATTTCTTTTTACATATTACAATTTTAAGGGTTTTTTTTTCACAGCAGAAGCATAGACAGTTTAAGGAGGTATTTACTTTCTTCCAGGGCCCGTGTCAGGCATTACATAAATAGAAATACAGCTCTCAGAAAAAAAAAACACAATAAGCAGACAGAGATATAGACAGACAGATATATATGTAAGCAAAGCTGAACAATATTAGATATGAAAGGAGGGGATAGCTTTTAATCAACTGCGTATTTATAACCCCCATAATTAAAGCTACATTCTTGCCATTCTCTTTCCTCTGAAAGACTCCAGCTTTTTTGGAAATATGAAGTGCATATATTACACTCTATACCCTGAACTGAATTAAGATGAGCTATTTTATACAGTAGTAAAATAACTGTCTGCCCTCAATGCTTAAGTTTCAACTGCCTATCAATCTATGTATCATTTTCTTTAGATTTTTTTTTCCTCCTCCTGTTTGAAGACCTTGGTTAAAATGGTACTATGCTTGTATCAAAGTCTAATTTCTAACAGTAAGAAATTAATCAGTCTTATCCAAAATAATCCTGTGTGTTTGACTGAAGTAAATTGGATGAGATTTTTATCATGTTAAAGAGTTAAAGCAAAGGGATACCAGCAGTGAAAAATGGCACGTATGGTCTCTCCAGACTAGCTTGCATTATATCACGTCAGGAAATACAAGTTTTAAAAACTAAGACCAGTTTTAGGTTTTCATAGGAAACAATTACATACAACTCTATTTCCAAAGAGAATGTTCCTTCCAGCTACAGCGCTTCACTTTGATCTGAGTATTATCTGGTAATAAAATAACCATATTCTGGCTTTTAAACATATTGGCGATTAAATAAATGTTATGCTTTCAATCACATTCTAACCTTTTTCTGGTAGAGACCCCTTAGCTGTATTCAGTGGAGTTCTTTCGTATTTGCTCTATATTTTAGTATATTTTGGTACTGTGTTTTAGGATTTGTGCTGCAGGGGTGGAAAATAAACTCAGAAACCGAGCGGGATCATTTCCAACCTGTGAAATGTGTGCTTTTTAGCATAGTTATTTAGTTCAGGCTTCTTTTGCACTTGTTGTATTCAATAATCATCCCTCATCTCAGTAACTACTGCAAAAGCCATTTTGGCAATACAATGATATGTATATATCCATGATTTTTTTTTTTTTTTTTTTTTTTGCGTTTGGGAATTAATCATTTTGACTCATCCTGAACAGTTGACCACCCCTTTGTATTTCACACCCAGTTGCAGTACTTCGTACAGACATGGAAATGACAGCAGAGGCTGAGAACTCCGGTTCTTTAGAATAAGAGGAGGTGGGGAGATTTTTTTTTTTTAAATATCCCTTAATAGTTCAGTTTCAGTACAACAATAAAACAGTTTTGATAACATTGCTCATGGGTTGCTCTGTCACAAAGTTTTCTTAATAATAAAAAAGAAGAAACTTTATCCCTCCAAAATTAAAATAGGGCAGATGTTGAGTATGGTTTATATTATACAGCCACTCCAGTCCTTTGCCTTTGGCACTAAGGTGTCTGACTTTTTCTTCAGACTCTGTCTGTTTCTCACTGAAAGGTATGACTCCTTCCCTAGCTTTTGAGGTTGAATACTTTTCTTTTTTTAATTGGAGTCGTAAACAAATCATTTCATCATATACGTTCTGTTATCTGCATTGCCAGCCAGCCAGTGAGGAAAAGCTTTGGCCAAAAAAAAATAGGGATCATTCTACGAACAGAAGAGAAAATCAAAGCAGTAAACACTGTTCCTAGAGAATTCGGCTCTGGATGGCTGTAGCTACGCTTACATGATGAGAGTGGGCTCATTACAACTGGCTTCCAAGACCTAAGAGGTTTAAATTTGCTCACTCGCCAGCAGCATTTTAGAGAGGCATAAGGCCCTATCACTTCAGATATTTAAAACTAGACTGGACAAAGCCCTAGAAAAGCTACAGTCGAATGGAAAGGGTTCTGCGCCGACAGGGGAATGGAGCAGATGATTCTTATTGTTAACGCTATGAAAATTGTAGCTGTTCAGTTTTTGAGGACATTACGGTACTTTTCTTTCATATTAGCAGGGTAGAATTGATTGTTCATTTGGAGCAGCCAAGTTGAGACTGAGATGAGACATACAGCGAGCAGAGAGGGATGTTCAGGTTACTGCAGTTTTCAATGATAAAAATCATATAGGATGGTGCTTTAGAACAAAACCCCCTCCCCAAAAACAAAAACCCACGCAGAGGACATGAAACGCAGAAGTAAACTTTAATAAGCAACTGTTGAAAGTGAATCAGAATTTCTTTCTGAACTAGATATTTGGAAGCAGGAAAAGAGCAAAAGCTATTTTGCCCCCCCCTCTTTTTTTAAGGCGTTGCTAACTTTTATGATTTTTTTTTTCTCTTCCTCTTTTACTATCTGTCTTTGTGCCTCAGGGCCAGTGAAAGAACACTGCAGATTCTAGATTGCTTTCAGAGTTTGCCTTTGCTGATGATGGATTACCATGTCAATTTAAACGGCATAGGATTAATTTGTTTCAATGATTTCTCTTTAGGCTGAATGCCAGCCTTTTTTCTATCTCTCCCCTTGCTCTTCAGAATAATAATATTAAAAAAACCCCTTAAAACAAACCCAAATGCTTTTGATATCCCACGTTAAAGAGACAATAATAGAAATAGACAAGTTAGGTGTAATGTTGCAACACAGTTATAGGTTTGAGTGTTTTTATCTCATTCTAAAAGGCTGAAGCATACAGTCAGTCACATTAAAATGAAATTGGATCCAACGTTTATTCAATAAATACTTGTCTTGTAGGTAATCCAGAGCAGAGTGCTTTTGACACATAAGGACTTAATTTGTCTTGGATAACAAGTTATTAATATGGCACATTTAAACTTGCCACCTACAATAAGGTCATTTAGATCTATAACATGACTCGCAGGTTGGTTTTCAAGAACTTCATAAAAGCTAGCAACAAAGTTTGAGATACCATTTTCGCTCGCAAATGCCGCTACCCATTTGTTCATGTTATTCCTTGTTTGCATCATGTAAACAAGAGCGTTTAGGCCAGCATGCTCCATCTAACTTGGAGTAAAGAGTATCAGGAGGGCACTGTTAAAAGACAGCTGAAAGGTCTGAAGGAAGCAAGAAAAGCAAACCCACTTTAAAATGAATATTTTTTAAAGCTGTGCTGCTTTGCTAAAAAACTCATTCCAGCCTGGAAAGCGATACAACTGACATTGGTTTGGAGGTGACATTCTCATACATTCACACCAAGGCTTGTCCATGTGGTTTGCAAATGACTTGCTTTTAATAATAAGCAAGGAAGTTTAAGCTTAATCCACCTATAAATGTTATTGCTCTCATTTGACTGTGCAATGTTTGTTCATGCATTAGCTGCATGTGTAAGGAGAACATGCTTGTGGTCTGTGTAGAGCTGAGTACTCACGGATGCTTTGGTATGAAAGGTTTTGAAACCAAAGCACTGCGCAATGAATTGTTCCAAAATGCGATAAACTGGGAAAAGGATGCCTTCTGTTTCCCTACTTCCTCTGCCCTAGCCTCAAAGTGCCAGTAAGGGTTGTATTATGACAGGTATATTTTGCCTAGCGGGCATACTATGCGGAAAGCACTCTGCAGCCAGTCTCTCTAGTTCCACAGTAGCTGGGAGCTTTGTTATGTTGCTTTAGTTTATAAAGTTCCTGGTTGCTCTCTTCAGAGTAGATTCTGTATCTTTAAGAAACTAAATCTCCTTTTTAAAAGCTCTTCCTGAGAAAAGGATGTTACACATGAGTAGAAAAATGCAGTCAAGAAAGGCTAATTGAATGAAAAGGGAGAATTAGGTTAAAAAATAGAATACAATCTAGTATCACATTTTCACTAGTGTAACCTGAAATGAAGGTGTCTCCAAGTCCCTAGTGATGCCAGAGTGTTTAGATGTTGGGCACAGATGGAGACACCTATTGAAATGTGTCTGAAGAAGATTAATAGGACTTGTCAGTGTTGGGAAAGCACTGCTTTGCTGTAAATTTCTACTAGCACAAGATGAATTACCGATGAATGCTCAGTTATCAACCCCATCACTATCATTCGACACTAAATCAAATTGAGCAGTTATCTACAATCAGAAAATTTCTTTTAAAAATAGGCATACACCTTTAGGCTTAAATGCTTTAATAAAAGCACCTCACAAGACAATACCTTCTGTGTTGTGTGGGTAGGCTCGCTAAGGGATATATTTTCAAGTTCTTTCACAAAAAAGCATCCACGTGCAGTATAAAACTGGGCTTGTCAAATCACAGAAGTAATTATTCACAAAATATAAGTTACATCATATAGTATCTTTAGTCTGGGCCTAATCCAAAGCCTATTACAGTGAATAAGAGGCTTTCCATTAACTTTAACGGGCTTTGGATCAGGCCTTATTCTATCTGTGAAACAAGGATGTTTTTTCCGGGTGGCAAGAGAGGTTTCCCTACCTTAAAGACAACTTATCCAAACCACATTTTAAAGGCAAGTGGCTGTCAAGACTCAGCACATATGCAAGATAACAATAATAAAACATGTACATAGGCAAT